CTAGGAGCAGCATATGGTTCAGGCAGGCTCAAGCACATAAACTCCTGCAGGCTCAAGCACATAAACTCCTCAAGACGTGAGCTGCTGCACTCAGCCTTCACTGGAAGCTAAGAAACTAACATACAAAATGAGATACAGCAGCAGCCGGGTTCTCAAGCAGAATTTTCTCTAACAGATCACAGACTGATTTCATTTTTTTATCCAGAGACCTGCACTGACATTTAGCTCAAGATCGCTAGAAATGACCCACCTACCGACATTTTAAATGGGAGTCGATGGAGGAAGGGATGGGGACTCAAGTGTGATCCTGCAGCAAATTCCTCGCAGGGGTCTATTAACTGACAAGGAAACCAGGCACTAGGCTTTGGTTAACTGAGCACAAGCCTGGGAACCCAGAGCTCCCGATTCTAGCCTCAGCTCTGCCTCCGACTCGCTTCTGTGGCCTTGGGCCAAGTCAGTTCCGCTCCCCCCGGGCAGCGAAGGGGAGGCGATGATACCCAGCACCCCCTCGCGGGGCAGTTCTGGAGCCTGGCCCGGGCATTGCTACCGGGGGTTAAGCCCCGTACCGAGCACACCGACCCGGCGGGCACTTGGCGAGGCCCAGCTAAAAAGGCCAGGCAGGCAGCGAGTCTCGCAGGGTTGGGTTTCTATCCTAAGCGCGGGTGGCTGAGCTAAACCCCCCCCGGGCCCGGATCTCCGGCCCCTGGACTTCCCCCCTCTGGTCAGGGCCTGTCCCCGGCTCTTCACGCCCACCCCGGCCTCAGCGCCATCACCTTGAGCTGCCCCACCAGCCTCAGGAACTGCAGCAGGCTCCCGGCGGCGCCGCCCAGCGGGGCCGCGGCCATGGGGCTGCCGGCGGAGCGGGCCGAGGAAGAAGCAGCGGGGCTCGCGGAGTCCGCCTCGCGCGGGGCTGCAGCTGCTGCCGGGACCCGCCTCCCCTTCCGCTTTGTCCCGGGCGAGCTCAAGCACCCGCCGGCGCCTTCTCCCCCCGCTGGCCCTGCAGCGAGACGTTGCTGCCTGGAAGACGAGGCGGGGAGCCCAGCAATGGCCGAGACACGCCAAACCCTAGTGCAGGGCTGGGGCGGGCCGGTGAGGACCCGCCCGGGCGCC